TCAAAATGCTGTTTGGTACCTACCATTCCCAGCCTGCTTTTCAAGTTAACAGCACAGCATTGGTAAGGCTCCCCACACCGCACTTCACAGAGAGCATCCTGCAAACAAGTCAGGCTTCCAATCTATATGAAGGGCCAGATGGTGAGTGGACTTCATCTAGTAAAACAACATGATGGAAAAAGCAAAAAAAAAGAGTGTGAAGAGAGAATGCGATGGCCCCTGGTGCACTGGCAAGTCCATCAATAGATTAGGCTAAATTCACTGCTACCTTTGTGCTGCCCTAATGATGCGCAGCAGCTGGACAGCAAAGCTGGCTATTCTTTTAACAACCAAGAACAGAAAGAATAAGAAAAAAAATAATTAAAGGAAATTAAATTAAATGAAGCATTTTTCTGAGAAGTTAGCCCTTGCATATTTTTGAGAACACAACAGAAAGCAATTCAAATTGAATTAAAGCTGCCAGAATCTTTTCAGAATTCTGTTCAAATTACCTTTTCCCATTTTAATCCCTAAACTAGCGGGGGTTTGCCCAGCTATCTAATAATCTGACATTTTAGGACCTTGTCAAGAAATGGAAAATTTTGAGTGTACACCAACTTGAATAATTTGAAGTGTCACTTTGATGGTAGAAAAGTCTTGATGAGGAGTTTGAGTAGTCTGTTCTAACTTGGACTTTAATTGCAATCAGTTTATTTAAGCAGGATTCCAAAGTACCATGCAAAATTGCCACTGATGTAAATGCAAAATTGCAAATTGCTTATGATCACATGTACAGTAAAAGAGAAGTGCAAGGGTGATAAAGTACCGATGTTTATTGGCCTGTGCCTCTGCTAAAGCAATTATGGGATATATAACATGTTCTGAAATGAAGCAATCACATGTGGATCACACAACACTTGAACAATCTCAAACACTGTTGAGTGTAGATGGTAACAGAATTAAAGGAAATGAGGAGAGAGCCAAGCACAAACCTTCAAGCCTCGGGGGCCCGACAATAGGTCTGCTTCTCTGGTAGCGTGCTGAGGACAATTCCTGCAAGAAAAGTTCACTCCAGACTTGCCAAAAGACAGAGGAGTGCTCCTCCATGGCACCATGTCATGGGGAGTATTTGCCTCCATATACAAATATCTCACCTAAGCTTTCTCTTTGGAATAAGTTAACCTGGAGCTGTGCAACAGCCAGCCCCATTAGAATGACAGTGCCAAGGCACTCTTTTGTAATCTCCATAACTTCTTATCAAATTTCCTTGGTTACTCCTTGCTCAGTTTACAGTGCAAGGACCTCTCTTCCCCTATCTGCCAAGCCATCAGGCTCAGCCCTGGCTCTGACAGTCAACCTGGACTCTTTCCAAACAGGAATAGTCAAATGCAATAAACCTCCTGCAATTACATTCCCTTTGCAATGATGCACAAGCCATAAAGGAGTTTGCTTTCCCTCCCCTCACCCCTTCAAAACAGAGCAGCCAGGAGGAATACACACTAGCTAAAGTCATTATTTTTTCTGACATAAGCAGATATGACTTGGATATTTTGAGCAAAAATGTTTCATTCTTCTGGGGCATTGTTCTAACCATAGCGGTAATTACTCTGCTCAGTGTTCTGGAGCAGGAATTTCTAAAGAAGTTAATAGGCTTGGTGGTAGGAGCTCTTGGGTAAGATTTTGTGGCTCATGTTAGGCAAACTGCTGGTTTAGAGGATCATAACCTACCCCTCTGGCCTTAGAATTCACAGATTCACTAAATTAAAAACATCTCTCTGTGCATACAGTATTTCCTCCTCAAATGGGCTGGATGCTCTCTATCTCCACGCAGAAAAGAAACACAGACACTGCTAGAACTGCCAGTTGTGAGCTGAAAGTGCTCAGGACTACAACCACTAGCTTAAAACATAAATGTATAGTGGGACAAAAAAAACCCCAAACAGTCAAAGTACCGTGGTGTACTGACAGTGAGGAAGTCAAACTAAAAAACAGAGCTGGTAACCTCAGACCCAAGCTGTTTACCTCCCAGGTGAGCTGGAAGGTGAAGTGGCCTCAAACACAGGCAACCTCCAAATGTTCAAACCGTCGTTCCTAACGTCCCTCAAGCACTGCGTAAATATTGGCTAACCTCCGAAAAGGGTTTGAAAGGACAATGATGTGGATTTTGCAGAGGGCACGCCCACATCTTGCAAATAGCAGGGGATCTTGCTCGCTCAGCTTTCATTGCAGGAATGTATAAAACCGAGGAGGCAGAACACAGGAAAGGCGGACGCTGGCCTCTCCCGGCACGGGGAGGGAAGGACGGCAGCAGGTTCGTGAGGACTCCTCACAAAGAGCCCCTGTCTGCAGCGACCTGGCCATTGCCTTTTGGCTCATGTCTTGAATAGAGGGCACTTTTTCAGCAGGTTTCTTAGGGAACTCAAAGTATTTTCTCTGCATAGCACATTTATTTCTAAACCCACCCTAACTTACATCCCAAGAGATGTGTCTGATGGCTGCTGGGACAAGTCCCAGCTGAACACTGTGACGTGTTCACCATGTTCCCCAGCCACCCCAGCTTGGTGTGAGACCCATCACTTCTCTCCTAGCTAAACCCTTGCTAAACTGATGCTCACCTCTTGCTTTCTAAGATGATATGCTCTTAGTGATGAGGAACTAGGGGAACCTTTCTTATGGCTTGCTCCCTAAATTATATCCTTTGGGTCAAGAGAGATCCACATGGCAATCTTCAAGGGCCATTTTGGGAAGGAAAGGACAGTGTGCTAACATTCACCTAAAATAGCCACATGGGTAGGTTGTGGCCCAGCTCTCATGGGAAACCACAAATGTCTGTTGAGACCATCACATCTGAACAGGTATCCTCAACAAAAAAAAAAAAAAAAAAGCCTTCACATTTCCTAAGTACCTGTGCTACCACTATTAGTGAAATGAAAGTGGTCTGTCTGTACCACTGGTTGGCAAAGTCTTCTGCCAGGTGTGACTCTATGCCTGCCCAGGAAACAAGTAGGGATCTGCACACTGAAGACCTTTGCTGCATCATCTTCTCTCGGCTGCAAAGCTACAGACCTCCTCCCCTGAGCAGCACATCTGTCCCCACAAATATCAAAGGATGATTTCAGGAGATCAAACCTGCTGTGACATCTCATTGTTCATCAGCCTGAGCACGGATAGACCCTTCCTGTGCAATGAGCAAGGCTCCAACATTCTCTCCCTTCTCTCTGCCAGCAGGAGCCAACCCTGGGTCCATGGGTCCAATACCATGGCCACTACTGGGATCTCCTGGCATGGCCAAACTTTGGGAACACCACAGAAGGTGCAGTACCTGGGACATGGTGGGAGCTGTCCCGGTTGATCCAAGCTCCTCACCAGCATGGCAAGGTCAGGAGCGAATGTTCTCGGCAGTGCTGGAGGACTGTCACAGACTCTGTCAAAGACATGGGCTGAATGTGGAAACACCACAGAGGAAAATGACTTATTTTGGTGCAGCTGGGAAGTGCTTTCCATGGGTCCAAAGACTAACACCCCTCTTCTTCAAGCTGACACCTGCCTGCTAAGGGAGGTCACCATTGTCCTAAGGGGCCTAAAGCTGCAACCCCTCCAGCCCTGAAGTAAAGCAGCACCTGGGCACTCCCTGCAGAGCCAGCACATCCTAGGAATTCATACTAGTTTTATTCCCTCTAGGGAATAAAACCATCCAAGTTGTCTTTGCTCAAAGGTTTGAATATCCCAAAGGCAAGAGCCATAGGAACATGAGGAGCTAGGGTATCCCAGTACACACAACACAATAAAGATCCATCCTTCCCCTTGTTGTTTGCAGATGAAAAACTCACCGTGGTAAAGACCCTCTGAGATGTGCATCAACATTATGATGATGTTCTGGGCCCAATTTTAGCACAGTGTCAATTATGCTCCCCCTCCTTTTCCTTTCATATTCCTCCATCCCAAAGCAACAAAAGGCAATGATTGCAGTGACCTCCAGAAAATGTAAAGCCCAAGCCAGCTGATCTCTGGCAACACAATAGCGAGATTAGTTCATCTGCAGTGAACAAACACGTATTATGTGGGTTTTAAAGTTAGGAGAGGAAAATGCTGTGGTTTTCATGTATTTCTATTCACTAAGACTGCAAGTTATTACTTCCATGCAGCTGAGAAGCTCTATTTTTAAAAATAGCCTTCAGCTTGTTTTGAAATCTGCAAGCATCTCCCTTTGTTTTGCAGCAGCGTAATAAAAAAAACCGAGCCACAAACGATCCCGTTTTCCACCACACGCATCACCTCCCCCGCCCCAAACCCCCGCGCTCCAGGGATGCTGAAAAAAACTCCTCGGGGAAGGGAGGGATAGAAGGCAAACAAACAACAACAACATAATAAAAATAATAATAAAAACACTCCCACACGCACCCTACGCGCGGAAAAGGCAACACGGGACGGGGGGGGGGGGGGGGGGCGGAGAGGGAACCAAACCCGAGAGTCGCCGGCTTGGAAGCGGCGGCGGAGCCGCGACCGCCGACAGACAAAGGGAGCAGGGCCGGCCGCGGGCGGGGAGCTCGGCGGCCGCCCCCCGGGGCCGGGCCAGCGCCGGGGCCGCCCCCCC